TGTGTGTGTGTGTGTGTGTGTGTGTGTGTGTGTGTGTGAGATGAGGGACTGATGTGTTTCCATGGCAACATTATGGTGGTCTGTGCAGCTCTCTGGGCTTGGTGGATAGTGGATACACTACCTTGAGTGCTGTGTCCTGAGAGAACGTCGGAGTATCGGAGGTTCATGTGCGTACTGAGGGCTGAATAAAAGCTGCGGCACGGTGATACAGTGGTTAACCTCACAGCAAGAAGGTCGCCAGTTCAAATCCAACTTCTCTCAGGAACCTTTCTTTGTTATGTTTGCATGCTCTTCTGCGTTTCCTCCGGGTTTTCTTTCTCCCACAGCTCACTGACTGTAGATAAACCATATACATGTAGGTGTGAGTGTGAATTGTTTGTCTGTGTGTGTCGGCCCTGTGATACGCTGACGACCTGTCCAGAGTGAACCCCGCCTTGGTCCATTATCTGATACGTCAACTCTGATTGTAGTTTTCTTCACCCTCACAGGGAGTAAATCCCAGGACGGCAGCATCTCGGAGATGGAGGAGCTTCCTGTTCCCCAGAACATCAAGATCAGCAACATCACCTGCGACTCCTTCAAGATCTGCTGGGACATGGAGCCTCGCAGCAAGGAGCGCATCACACACTACTTCATTGACCTGAACAAGAAGGAGAACAAGAACTCAAACAAGTTCAAGCACAAGGTAACGGTTGAATCAGCACAGATAAGACTCTTCTCACTGCAGAGAGATGACTCAACAAAAGGCCTCAAGTAGAAGTGTCACTCGATGGAACCTCACAAAGAAAAGGAAGGCATTTGTAGAGAGTAAGAGGATTTGTAATGATGTGATTCAGTTTGTAGGAAAAGTGAAAAATCTAATGAGCTTGCAGAGCACAAAGAAGGCAGCATGTGAGTTTAAATATTTGACCAAACTATAAAAACATCTTCCCAATGATCATTCAGCTCCAAAACATTATTTCATCTCTTTATTTAAGTGTCCTTGAGATTAAAATGTTTTTTTCAATAGCTGCGCAGCCAAAAAAAACTATTTCAAACATCATTTTCACACGCTGAGGAAAACGACGTTGTACGGATAATATCAGTTGAGACAGTTTGATTAAGTTTGATGTTTGAAACCTGAAATGACAATACGCGGCTCAAACACAGGTAAGCATGTAAGATGACCTGTCTTTAGGCAAGGAGATGCATTTCAGGGTGGCTTTTGTTCACAGCCAGCCATTTGTCTGAACACTAATGGGTTAATATCACACACACAGTCTCTGTCTGAGAGTAATTGCATCAGGAGCAGGAGGAAGAAGAGGAGGAGTACTTACAGACTCCTTTTATCATTCTCCTTCCTCTCCTCCTGCAGTCGCCTTCTGGGTAGTAGTTAATGGTTTCTCCTCTCTGATATGAACAAGGATGTGTCTGATCATTTTCTCTGCCCATTCTGTTAATCTGCTGTGTATCTGTGTCCACATCTGTTGAATATCTTCAGTGTCTAAATACTGTATTTTGATCGGTGACCAATACTGTTTGTGCAGCGATGGCGCTGACTCTGTTGCTAGGCAGGGGCTCCTGGTCCAATCAATGACCTGCTCACACCCACAGGGACTTGTGAAGAGTAAATAGTGTAAAACATGTTGCACATACAGTTCATTAAGAGCAGGGACAGCTACAAACTACAGCACTTAGAGACATGAGTGAAGCACTCATGAAGTGAGTGCGTTTACGAGCAGATGACTGCCAATACATGAGAGACGGCCATAAATGGAGAAGTACCTCCTGACTTCCCGACACCCTTCCTCTCTCCCTCCCTTCAGGATGTTCCGACCAAGCTGGTGGCCAAAGCCGTGCCTCTGCCCATGACGGTTCGGGGCCACTGGTTCCTCAGCCCACGCACCGAGTACACCGTGGCCGTCCAGACCGCCTCAAAACAGACCGACGGGGACTACGCCGTCTCCGAGTGGAGTGAGATCATCGAGTTCTGCACCGCCGGTGAGAAACACAGGTCACGGGTGACATCACACATTTCAACAGTGACCAACTGAACCAAAGAGGACAAGGGCAGAGACGGAAGAAACAATGGAGGAGAGGACACAGCACAGTGAATATTAAAGGGAGGCTAATTTATACTGAGTGCAGGCAAAGATGGATGGAGTGACGGAGGAGGGGAGGGGTGAGGAAAGGGAGGGATTAAAGGAAGGAGGGGAGCTGTGCTGTATATCATCTGATGCAGAGGTCACAGAGTTCAACATCGCAGGCTAGAGGCTTAGCGTGGGGGAGGAGGAGAGAGATGATGGCGTGGAGACTGGAGAGCAGAGTAGTCAGAGAGGGTGAGGAGGCCAAAACATACTACATGCTATCACATGTAGTGGCCCGCGCTCCTCCCCCCTTTGTTTACTAAGGTTCACATCTTGTCTTCTTTCCTTTTCTTCAGAATGAGAGAGCAGAGAATTTTCTCTTTTTACTCAAATTGTCCTCAGTTCAAGTTTCTGTGGCGAAATTGCGATTGTGCAAAATGCCCTGCATCATTATGATTTTTTTATATATGCTTTGGATCAAGTCCACACTCAGTTGGCAGAGCTGTGTAACATGGTGGGGAGTGAGAGTAGATAATATTATAGGACTGACTTGAGAATGTTTCTGTTCTAAATGCTGAGTCATTTCAGCCTGTGAAAAAGTATGGAGATGTTAGGGAGGGTGGAACGTCAGGATCCCTGAACACATATTCAGAATTCACATTATACACACCGGTAAAATAATTGGATTTCTCATAATGATGTTTGTCATTTTCCTTTCACAATAATTAACGATTTGTTCTGTGTATTTGCAGATTATTCCACAGTGCATCTAAACCAGCTGCTGGAGAAGGCAGAGGCCATCGCTGGCCGGATGCTGCCTTTCTGTGTCTTCTACAGGAACCAGAATAAAGAATATTTTGACCATGCCAGGTAAAAAGACCATGTCGTTTTAGGTTTGATGCATTTGACATCAGATTGAGCGGTTTGTAGCTGTGACCAGCTGAGGATTCACCTCCGGAGTGAAGCCTGATGATTAGATCCATAAATCCACACATCAAACTACAGAAGCAGAATCCAGTAACATCCTCCGCACACGTACTGTACGGTTGAATTCAACAGAAAATAAAGCAGCAAAGCCTTGTTTAACTCTGTCAGACAATAGCAGACAGTTGCTCGGGGATGCGGGCGAAAGAATAGAGGGAAAAAAAATCATACTCGTGGCAGCAAAAGTCTGTTTCTATGTAGGAGGAGAGTGTGACAGACAGAGGAAGAATATCGCTGGAGCTTCAGCGTATGTTGCTTTAGTAGATTGTGTCTTCTACACCTTCCTGTCTCGTCCTCCTCTTGTGTGTTGTCGTTTTATTCTAATGGCTCCTCTCCATCCTCTCTGTCTCTGCACTTAAGCCTCAGCTTGTGAGCACTCTTTTGTTGGAGCTTTAAAACATGACGTCATCTGCACAGGCAGATTCATCCCGTTTGCTGAGTTGCAGCTGCCACCGAGTGCTTCTGTTAAACTGCACCATCATGTGGTGATCAACAGTATGGACGTGATGAGGCCTCTGATCGTTTGACCTGGGCTGGGAGCTGTATAATTCTATAATGCCCACAACAAAGCACCAATTATGAATATAATGACAACCTCTGGAGTGATAGCTCTATAATTACGATTCATAACTGGAGCTTCGGAGATTAGATTTGCTCTACGGGGGGAAGATGTGCAGCTGCCACAATAGTGTTCGTTGCGTTGAATGTTGGTCTGTTAATTTGCAGTCTGGAAGCAGCTTTTGTTTTTTGGCAGTTTGTGGGAATAATAAAGAAAAGCCTGTCTTTTTTTTCAGTGAAATTTCCTCTCTAGAGGACAAACTAGACTCCGCTAATGTGATTACAGTTTAAGAAATGCTGAAATTACATCACATAGTTCTCTGTGCTCGCTGTGTTTTATATATTCAGACAGTTTGCTCCCATCTGTCACGCTGTCTCAGACACTGTCTGTAATACTTTAATGAAACTCTGGCAATTCAATGATTGGCCCCAGAGGGAAGCTGATGATTGTTTGCTGTATCTTCACGGCCCATTTCTTCTCTTCTATCCAAACTCCAGGGAGGAGCAGGAGAACCGAATGCTGCCGTCAGTGAAGGACAACAGTGGCAGCCACGGCTCACCCATCAGTGGAAAGCTGGAGGGGCTTTTCTTCAGCTGCAACACAGAGTTCAACACAGGCAAACCACCGCAGGACTCCCCGTACGGTCGCCACCGCTTCGAGGTCCGGGCTGACGCGCTCTTCAACCCAGACACCAACCTGTACTTTGGGGATTTCTACTGCATGTACACAGCCTACCACTTCGTTATTCTGGTCCTAGCGCCGAAGGGCTCCAGAGGAGATGACTTCTGCAAGCAGCGTCTTCCTTTGCTCGACATCGGCAACAACCCTTTCCTCACCTGCAAGCAGATTGAGGAGGGCGATGGCGGTCTGCTGTTTCATCACGCCCAGGACGTCATACTGGAGGTCATCTACACGGAGCCCGTGGACCTGGCGTCGGGCACTGTGGCCGAGATCAGCGGGCACCAGCTGATGAGTATGTCCACGGTAAATGCCAAGAAGGACCCGAGCTGCAAGACCTGCAACATCAGTGTGGGACGCTAAGAAACAGCAGATTGTAGGAGAGCAAGGGAAGGACTCGGAGGTGAGCGACCTCCACACACAGGAAGTCCACGTGTACTGATGAAGCAGACCAACACATGCATGAAGCAGCAGATTTAGTAGACTCCCAGACATGCACACCGACATATCTCTGACACCGCTCTGTACTCCGAAGAGACCGACAGTCCCAAAGAAGAATGGAGGAAAATAGAGGAAGGTACTCACACTTTGACACCTGCACCATTGTCTCCCTCATCTTTAAAGGGTCGAAAACATACATTAGAACACACCTGAAGATGTCCACGCAAGGGACCACCAGCCGAGACACCACCACAGACTCATCCATCCATCCTGCAAGTCAACTCTGGCGTACTGACCAAACCCTTTAACTCTACTTAAAACATGGGCTGCTTCTATTCAGTTTCCTGTTTTTTAATTTTGTTTATGACCTTTGCCTTGTTATTATTGATATGCTGTTGATCGAGCGTCCACAATCTGTGTGGACGGGCATTTTGTTGTTTCTTTGACGGTTTCTCTTTTTTAGAAATGTTTTGTTCTTTTTCCAGAGAAAATCTGACTTCTTTTTTTTTTTTTTACTTCTACTAGTGGCATGAAATGGTACTACGATTTTTCTAGGGCTGCAGCATCAATGGTCATCTTTCTTTAAACCAAAGGTTTAACCAGACATGAAACTGCTGTGGAGTCTAATGCAACAACTGCTAAAAATGTGTACTCACTAAGTCTCTAATGTCAGAGTGGGAACTTCTCATGAACCTTAGAAAGAAGCAGAATGAAAGCTGACAGTACCTCTAACATAGCAACCTTTTCTGTAACACTCCTTCTTTTACTGTAGTCAGTGGAAAGAAAGTAGAACCATAAACTGTGTTTAGCAGAATAAATGTGAAAAAATATTTATTTTTTATTGATATTCATATTGTATATATATAGAAAATTATATAAACCAGAAGTGCACAATGTCAAACACTCTGATCATTGTCAACAACAGCATTTAGGGGAATTAACTAAACAAAGGCAAAACAGGGGGGGGAGGGGGGGAGACAAATTCGACAGCAGTATAACTTGCACTACAATGTCAAAGCTTCACCATCATTTACATATTTTCCAAGGTGAACATGATAATTAAATTGTCACGATTTAGATTTACTATAAAATTCAGAATGCATATCATAGCACAATGCAGGACTAAAAAAACTGACATGCACAAACACGACAGGATTGTCTCACTGATTGCATTTAAACATTTGCCTTTTGTTTTGCCAAGACAGCACTTTTCGAAATTGCAGTCTCCACATTAACACTGGGCACAGCTGTCCAAAAATAGCACTTTGGCAAGAAAAAAAAGTGCCATAAATATACGTAAGGTAATATTAAAATAACTAATATGTAACTAACACCAAGTAGTTACAGCGCTTCATCTTTGATACGGACTAATGCTACATAAGATACGCTTGCTACATCGGTTTTGTAATGAGATATGTCACGACATGATAAAGGATGTGTTGCTTTTGGGACGTATAGAAAAACAAAAAAAACTCTGCAGTCGCCCAGAATTTCAGTCAGATTCTCTCCAACTTCCATCACTGTTCTCCTCATGTAAAGTGCATCCACATAATGAGCATGGCATGAAAATAAAGACCAGGCCCACCAGCTTCTCAGATCTGATCGAGTCCTGTTAAGTTGCATTAAAGTCCCACTGTGAGTTAACTCAACTGGTCTTGGTTGAGTCCTGTTGTTTACTGAGCAGGGCCTCCAGTAGACGGAGCCTCGCTTTGAGGTTCTTATACTGGCAGTACTCCTCCGCCATCTGTCCACGGTCCTCCTTCTGACAAGCCCTGTTAAAAATACACAGAAGAAAGACGATGCAAACAAAGGCAAAACTTTTTTTGTAGTTTCTTAACAACCTGCAGCAGCTTCCATAACTGGTTGATAGTCCCTATGTTGCCTTACTCAGATTGCTATGTACAGTGTGTATTGTAATCAAGATCTGACTGTATCGACTTTGGACGACTAACATGTACAGTACAAAGGATGTGAACAGTCCAGAGCAAACGTCTTCTATCTCTTCGTCTCTTTCCTGAGCTCTCTGTGCTGTATTAACGTTACGTAAGTGTGCATTACACACGTCGTACCATTACGACGTCATTTCTTTTGTGGATGTTTTTTTTCTTTGTTTTTCACACGCCGTTGTTGAAAACCAAATGTTCCAAGTTTATTAAAAGAGAAAATAAAATTCAAAAAGCCAAGTAGTTTGGATGGAGCTGTGTGTGTTTGTTATATTGTGTGTGTAACGTTTACCTGCCAGTCTGCATGTGGAAGTGGTCCTCAAACTCTCTGAGTGTTTTGTGAAGCCTCCGCTTCTCTGATCGAGCGACTCTGAGGTGATCCAGTAATTCTGATCTAAATGAAGGAAGAAATAAACTATTTATTATCATCTTTAAAATCATCATTATTAATCTTTATACTCACTTTTTAAACTGTAATGATGATGTGAAAGGGCTAAAGCTTAAGAAATATGAACTTCCAGCTCACTTTTATCCTTTTTTCCCCCCTTTACTTCCCAAAAACAATTAAGGACGCAGTCAAGAGCTGTTAGAGCTATGTGCAGAATCCATACCTGGAAGCTTCGTGTAATGTTGCCATGGTGATGATCTGTGGCTGGAGACTCTTCGCCTCATCCAGCGGAGACACCAGAGGTGTTTCAGACATTTCTAATGAAGGCAGCTGCAGCAAATCGTCTGAGGACACACACCTGGGAGATTTAAGCCAATGTGGCTGCTGCCTGGGGCTTCGCTGTTTGGGATGACCTTCATCAGAGCCCTCCTCTTCTTCCTATGTGCACACAGAACACATATACAGTACTATTAACTCTGTGGTTATTTATAATCGTCTACTCATTAATAGAAGTTTAATGTAGCTCTTACATCCGGCCATTAGGTGGCAGTAGAGCGACACTGCTCTGGCTCTAAGAGGCTGAGCTCAGTTCTCTCCTCGTGTGAAAAACAGCACGGTTGTCAAGATGTTGTCTCTGTCTACAAACACATTCCCTTATTCAAAATTCAGTATCAGATGGTTACTCACAATGGTCGTAATGACGGTCGAGGCCGCAGAAAAAAGCAGAAGCTGCTTGAGAAGACGGTACCGGTCGTAGAAAGGTTTCATGAGAGTCCGCTCCTGCTTTGTACTCTGACGACACAAACAGAAACCCCTTTGTTATTGGTGATTATATACAAATAAAAAGAAAGAGAGAGAAGAGAATCCAACCACTCAGGTAAGAAATAAGAGATAAACACAGTTTGGTCTTACCGGACGTCCGTGCAGACTCTCAAAGTAGAGCAAACACTTCTGCATGCTAGTTTTCTCCATGGTCATCTGGTAATGGGTCATCTCCTGCATGAGTGGGCACAGGGAACATTGTAAACTAAACATCAGTAAAATAATTTGACAGATGAATGTAATGCTCTGCTTTGGTATGTAATATTGCAAGAGAATAAGCAAATGTGATTTTGTCAACCTTGATGTGATCAGGCAGGCGAAGCTCTCTCCGTCTCTCTTTCAGTCTGTTGGAGATAATGTTGACGGTTTCCTCCACGTTTGGCTTGGTGTTGGTGTTGTTGTTGAGTTGCTGCAGCTCTGTTCCTGTCAGTGCTGCCTCGCTCTGGTCTGTGTTGGTCCTGCGTGTTTTGGAACGTCCCCGTCCTCTCAGCCCTGCTTCTTCTGTTTGTCTCAGCTTTAGCTCTGAAGGGGAAAACAAGAGGACGGAAAAATAAAGGACATGAAAACCAGAACCTTGCAAATCTAAAATGTGGAGGCAAGAACAGCAACTTGTACTTGACTGCGTGATTATGGTTATGTAACTGACCTTTAAGCTGCTTGCGACTCTTGATGAGCTCCTTCATTAGTCTGGCCATCTCTGGATCTGCTGTTTTATCATTATGAGCAGGCTGAAAAATAAATCATGACAAAATCTCATCATGAACAGTACAGCGGCTGTTTTTAAGATCTCTTTCGTTAGTCCCTTGTTCTGGGTCTACTCAGTTTTCATAGCAGTCAATGGCCTGTGTGCTGCAGCAGTTTATCAACCAGTTGACTGAGGATGCCTTGTGTAACAACTGTAATTTTTTCCATGGACCAGCAGAGGGAGTAATTTACTGTAGTATGCATGAGGTGTTTGAGGTAAGCAGCAGCAGCAGCATCTGTTTAGACCCTAAACATCACCAACAGTCAGGCACGTGATTAAAAAAACACAGTAAATGAAATCCTCCTTGGCTCTGAGAGTGCTGGTTATGTGTTTGGTAAAAAACTTTCATTTTAAATTATTTAAATTATTTTAAAAAAATTAAAAATAACGTCCAAACAGCTCTGATTCTCCCTCCTCACCTTATAGTGCTTCTCCTGTTCAAAACGCTCCTCAAAATGCCTGATCCTCCTCCTCAGGGTGTGGATGTGTCTGTTGAGCACTGAGATGGACACAGAGCCCTCGTCTGGTTCTGTGTGGATGCTGCAGCGAGCCCTGAGGAAAGGAGAGGACACATGAGTCATCAGGACTTTCTAAAAACAAATATGAGTAACTCATTCCTACCTAACCCTAACCCAAACTACATCCAACCATGCATCAAAAACATAAAAACTGTGAGCCACTATTCCTATATATAGCTAGTGAGGAAATGATCTTCTTACATGCGTATGTGTTGTGAACTCGGTGGAGAAGGGGCTGTATCGGGGTCTAAGTTGTAACGCAGGCTGTGGCTGAGGTTGGGGCAGCGCGGCGAGGGAACAGGGCCGTCAGTCGTCATAAAACAAGACAGAAGCGGGCTGGTGTTGGGGCCTGTTGGGCTCGACAGGGTATCGTCTCCTGACGTGTCCTCAGAAAGAGTGGCAGTGGTGGGGACTGGACTGGACTCTGATGAATGAGGGGAAGGTGTCTGTCCTGTAAGAGAGAGAGAGAGAAAGGACAAAGTATTAATTAAAATATATAGAAATTGACTTTTTCTTATTTTTCATTATGCTAAGACGGATGGGACAACATGAGAGAAGGGAGAGTGGAGAGAAAGGGTGGAGGATGTAGAAAAGGAAACAAGAGGGAGTAGAGAAGGCAGGAGAATTATAATTTTTTTGAGTGTTTCTAATCTTTATAGTTAAAAAAAACTGTTTTCTCGTAGTGTTTACTCAGATCAACCGTGAGAAAATACAGGAGAGGAAGAAATAAATCTACTTTGGTGTCATGGTATCAAAAACATTATATATTATGGAATATATGTACCTCTTTGTGGTGTCACTGATGGTTGTACAGTGATGCTACAGTGACAGCATCGTATCTTTGAGTGCTGTTACTCAACTTATCGAGAAAAGACACACCCAGCTATGGGAAATGATGAAACTCGCCGATCATTGAAAAGCAATACTGACTGTTAATGAGCATTTATAAGGAATTACAGCATCTTGGAAGATGCTCTGAAAAAAAGATCACAAACACTATAAATAAAGGTACTAGTAGACTATGTACAGAGTATGGCCCTTGCACTAATGGACTGAAAGTACTCTACTGTGATGTCCTTTGAGAACACAATGGCATAAATACATTTATGATATAGATTAAATAAATCATTGGTTGAGTGTCATTATGACTTTTATTTACTTTTTGCTAAGGTGCAAGAACAAAAATCTTAATTCAAAACCTTAAGTATTATCAATTCTGTATATCATGATGTGTGCGATGTCTTACCAGGCTGTGATAAGTCAACCTTGTTATAATCCTGAGCGAGTGATGGTGGCGAGTGGAGGAATGGCTTGTGGGTGAAATAAACATGCTCTTCGGTAGAATAGGGCTGTTGCTCAGCAGGATGGCTGTCCTGGATTTGGGAGTCTACTGCCGCTGGCAGGGGTCCCGAGTCAGCCTCCAGGGCTTGCAGCTTGAAAGAAGGGCTCTGGAAACAGAAGCAGAACATGGCTTCAGGGATGCAGACGGACAGGGGGAGGAGATGTCAGGAAGAGGTGTCGTAGTTTGCGTCTTCAATGTTTCACACACTGCCCAGGAAGCTGGAGAAGTCCTGTAAAATCATCTTATTCCCTCCGATGAAAAGAAATATTCTGGGTGTTCTCCTTGTCCTCTTGAGAAAGGTTGTAGTCAAAGCAGAGCTTTGCTTTTGATGGTATCTGAAGCACTAAGAACAAACTTGTGAAAAAAAAGATCTTTCAAAGCTCCCAGTCAAGTACAAACACTGATGGAAAAGGTAAAATCCAAAAACAGACTTTCCTCTGCTGTAGCTCTCCTCAGGTCTCAGCCAGGCTTTCAACCAGCTGAATGTATCCCACTGACTTCAGTCAGTCAGTGAGTCAGATTCCTTACGCGCATCAGCATCGAACGTGGGACCCTTAATAAGCAACACGCCTTCCATTTAACAGTACTGCTGTGAATCCCTTCACCAGGTCGGTGTGTCTGTGGGTGTGTGAGTGTGGAGAGCGCAGCAGCCCCCCCCCTCAAAGAGAATCCCTACATCCACATGGTTTTCCGTCTGAACGGCATTCCCGGCAGCTCAGCTACTGAACTGCCTCCACATGGATTATTCATCATGCTGAGGAGGAAGGGGGTCGGCGGGAATGCCGCTTCTGTCGGAGCGTGCAATGTGGGTGTTTGAGCGAGGGAGGAGAGGTACTATATGACGAGGCGTTTCCACGGCAACGTTGTCACACCGAGTCTGTTTGACATTGCTGCAGGGAGTCACGTAACCGTTTGCCTCGGTGTGTGAACGTGGATGTATATTTAATGAATTTTGATGATGAAAAAAGATTTGACTGAAAACATTCTGATCTCAATGATGATGATATAAAGCAGATTGTTTTTTTTGTTATTTATTATTGTTCGTTTAGATTATCTGACATTCTCAGCATCATCATCGACAGCAGCACCAGATAAGGGCTTGGTTTCTCCTTTCTCATCCTCCTCGGCTGTTCATTCATAAAAAAAAAAAAAGAAAAAAAAAAAAAAAATAGAAACGCTGCTTTGTGCGTCACAGAGGAGGTGGAGGGAGTCAGGCTGCTATTACTGAAGCGAAACACCCACAGGCAGGCGAGTGCACACCTACAGACATACATATAGATGGGCACACAAATGCACAGGCGCACAATCACGCACACAATCACCAGAGGTATCGATGGTCCTGTTGTCATAGATACGCTTAACCGAAAGGTGTTAATTTGTGTATCTAAAAAAGACTGTGGGGAAGGAGAACTTACGTCATGGCTGTTGTTCCTGCCTCTGCAATCATTGTGACTGTTAGAAGAACCACGACAACCTCCTCCTCCTCCTCCTCCTCCTCCTCTTCTCCACTGTAGGAACAGACTCACTGATGAAGGCACATCCCTGAAACCCTCACTGACACACTAGTATGTGCCCCACCCAAATATAATGACACGCATAGGGAGATAAGTCAGTTACTATAAAATGATTTATAACTTTTTCACTGAAGAAGATTTTGAATAGTTTCTTTGACTAAAAATGTAATAAAACCATCTATTATTATTGATATTGAAGGAAAACTTTGGTCTGTTCTGGTGTCATTACTGTCATCACCTGTTCAATTGCATAATATTCTATTGAACTCATTGAACTTTAGGTCTCTCACAGTGCTTTTTAGTTGCACTAGTGCATTGCATCTCACTGGTTTGCAAGCCTAAGGCTACAAACTCTGTAACCTGGCTTTCATGGAACGATCCAGTCCGACTAGACTTTAAAGATACAGTGTGTAGAATTTAGTGACATCTAGTGGTGAAGGTGCATGTTGCAGCTGAATACCTCTCACCCTCCCCTTTCAAACATGACAGAGAACCTGTGGTAGCCTTCAGATGTCATAAAAACTCAGAAGGTGTTTAGTTTGTCCAGTCTGGACTAATGTTGAAAACACAGAGAGGACCCCCTCAATGTAAATATAAAGTATTTAAATACAAAGGGCCCCTTCTGGGGGAAAGAAAACAACAATTCATGATATTTTGATGAAATATATGAGTGAAAACATCATAAGGATTATTTTATATTTAATTTTTGCCAATAGATCCCTTTCACCTATCTTACACACTGAACCTTTAAGTAGTTGCCTTAGGAAATGATTTAAAGATTGCTGTTTGTTTACCTTCCCATCAGGCTCTTTGCTTTTGTCTTCTGTCTTGTACTCTATGCAGCACAGCAGACTGAAAAACAAAATTATGTCAACAACATATATCCATTAAGTATTACGAATTTGTAAGATCAGAGACCATATGACTGTGACACACATTACGATCCATCCATTCTGCTCACAAGTCTGATCTTTGCTATAGTATGTACCTTGAAGGGCAGACAGTCATCTGGCTCTGCCGTTAAGGTTATGGCTTATTTATATCCGACACTAATGAGGCACAACTGAGATGACCCGTCCTGTGGCTGTCTGGAATCAGTGCGCCACCATGCTAGGTCGACCCAGTCAAACTAGCTCGGTCGGTCTGCACCACGTGAAACCCTGTGGCAGTCGGTGTTATTTGGACTGGAATCATATCAAAACCATGACTGTGAGCAGCGCATTGCTACCATAACCTAATTCCCATTTGACTGCAGGGCTGAGACATGAGCTGAACTGAGGAATTGAGTGCAGGAATAAGGGGCTGATCTAAAACTACTAACACATCCCGTCTCACTAAAGTGCTCCAGTATTCATGCTTGTGTTTGATCCTTGGCAGAAATGCTTTGTTATTGAAATCTTTTATGATAATACCTAAGAACAAATCTTTTCTGTAGAAAAACAGAACCAAGTAGAATCAACATTGTGATTGAATTTGTCTTCATGTGGAAGCTGTCCTCTCACCTCTCTGTATGTTGATTCTGCATTTGGGTTTTTCTCTTTGATCCATTCGTTACGCAGCAGTCGCAAACTGATGTCTGCCCCACATTTGTAGAGGCCTGAAAAACAATTTAATCCATGAGATATAACCTTCCAGACACATAACATAATAAAGGACTTTGCTCTATATACATTAGAAATATCATTGTGCTACACTTCACTCCACAGGATGTATTATTCAGCATATGTGTGAGGCAGCAGGTACGTCGTTTTGAACACATTTTTACAGGTCTATAAATAAATGTGCAAGACCACAGAAACTGTTGATACTGAATGAAGAGTTGTGAGTACTAGAGTTTAAATGGAAAGGGAGAATGGGAATTTAAAAAGAAAATACAAGAGTCATTTAAAAAGAAAACAAAAAGACAAGATGCAAAGACAACAAAACCTAAAAAACAGAAGGAGAAAATTAACACTGCACACCAATGAAGAGTCATCTCTAATGGAAGAGGAAGGTGTCCATATGTCCTCTTCCTTTTTTACTTCTGTCCTCTTTGTCTCTTTAGACAACGAGTTGAACGGTGACACCTGTGAAAAGGTCCTGTTGAAGAAAAATAACACAATTTATTTTATTAATGAAAACTGATGCATTTGTGTGTGTAAGGGGAAAATATATTGCGTGTGTAAGGCAAACAGCAAAGACTCTCACCCCTCTGTGGTACGCATCAACTCTGATGGTGTCTCTTGAACCTTTTGAAATTGTCCGCTCTGGTGCAGATGCTGCTCTGGCCCTGGGTCAGCAGGGCAGAAGGGGACACGGCCTGCCTCTGTACATTTCCCCTTCTCTTCCAGAGCCTGCCGGTCTGAAATCAGCCTCTGAATGTCAGCACTGACGTCAGAGCTGGTTTCAGAACTCTGCGTCAGAGTGTCTGCACTATGGAGGGACAGAGAGACAGAGGGTGAGGACAGGGAGAGATGAGGACAAGAGATAATAACACTACTAAGGCATCCTTTTGAAAATATTTTAAAAAAGAACTGCTGTTCTGTAGCTACAATAATGTCATTAACAGGTGTTTTTGAATAGTTTTTTTAATAAAATGATTATAAATGGATTTTGTTTCAGATGCTCTGTGGCCCTGTTATCCAAAGTCTTTGATTAAAAGTTCAATTGTAGAGGTTTTCCTGAAGAACAATAAGGCTACTTAAAACCAACCAGTGCAATTTCAGTCCACATCATTTTTTCCCCACACTCATGTGAGGTCAGCGTGACATTAACCTTTGACCACTGCAATCTAATCAATTCATCTTTGAGTCCAAGTGACTGGTGAACATTTGAAGAAATTCCCAAAAAAGAGAATTGAGATCACCAAACCAAAAACATGTTTTGTGAGGCCACTGTGACTGTGACTTTGACCTTTGACCACCCCAATCAGTTAATCCGTAAGGCATTCTTGAGATAGCATGTTCACAAGAATCTGATGGGCGGACAGACAACATGCAACTGCAAATTAGTCAAATCAAGAATAACAAGAATGTGATCTTATGACACAATGCAGATATCAGTGAAAAGATCCAACTAAATCAGTAACATTAAACAGTAACACTGGCAGCAGTAGATCCATGTTATGTTGGAGGGAATACATGCATGTACAATCTAAGACAGCTGATTTTAAGTGTATTACTCAGCATATCACAAGCCTAATATGAGTTGTGTCCCACACTTACTCCCTGAGAAAACTGTTGGCCTCTGCAGCAGGTGGGAAGAAACAAATGCATGACTCAGCAATGCTTGATTTAACGCTACAGAGAGGCTCTAATGAGCTGCTCCCAGCCAAAACAAGCACAACTCATTTGCTGTGACGTGAACCAAAAGCATCCCATCTGTCACATACTTGGGCAAAACGGTGTATGACTCCAGAGCCGTAACCTGTAGCCCGACGGGACAGTGCAGCAGCAGCAAGAAACTAATGACTGTTACTGAGGCCATTAATCAAAGAATGAGCCGAGCAGACGGCTGTCTGCATCATGATCATGAATTACTTCTCTGCTTCAAGTCCCCCTTCCTCAAACATCTTTCATCTGAAGACAAGAAAGGCAAGAGTGGCAAAAACAAACTGAATGAACTCATAGGAAGTTCTGCAGATGACGCTCAGCAGACGACCCTGCAGCGTCATTAATGTATATTGTCTCAGAGCAAAGTAAACACTACATATATTATCCTAAGATGCTAAAATTTGTCAAAGCCCAGATGAAAATGTTTTAATTATTGACCTCGGCTTCAAAGCAACCACATATACGCTCTGGAAGAGTACTGTGCATGAGTAGACTCAGGGTTGGTGTCACTGATGCAGAAGCAGATAAAACAAGTAAACATCCTTTCCTGAAATGCCTAACCACACAGCAGTCTTGTGCACCAATTACACGTGACAGTCAACAGCTCGCTGCATTGGAGGGACGCCAAAGACATGAAGAAAATAGGGCACAGACGATAAGTACTCAATAGTCAAGAGCACAAGTGACACACAGCGGCAGAGAGCTGGCCCAGCCCCTTAAATTACCCATTACCCCCACCATCACACACACACACAAACACAAACTGCACAGCCCTGGATTAGAAAATTATTTTCTGAATGACTTTGTTTCAATGACAGTTTCCCTCTCAGTCAGATCACCATGTCTCACATAAAATCTGTCAGTCCCTGCGATTTTTGGAATTGGCCAAATGTGTTTTTCCTTCTTATAATAAACACACAACTGTACAACCCTCATTAAAGAAGGCTGATCTGGACCTGCCCACTCTGTGACCTACTTGAAAATAACTTTCTTATCTAAGGCGTTGGAGGAAATTATTGTTTTTCAGGTTGACATCTTTTACTGTATGAGTAACTTTCAGAACTCTGCATTGTGGCAGAGAGAGCCCTACTTTTAAGTGACAAATGATTTCCTTGCTGCACATTAAAGTAAAAGCTCCATTCTCATTGATAGATGAGTAGTAGATAGGTAGATCCACACTCCATCCTTTTGACAGTATCTTGAAACTTGGTCAAAAGCTACTTTTTTTATTGTCCTCATTTTTGTCTGAATTTGTTTCATGGGTCAACTTTGGATCCATTGTTTTCTCCATGGTCTTCAGGTCATTTGCTGCTCTTCCACATCAGATGATAGCTCAAATCTAAAGGCTGTGTGTCCAAAAGTTTCTGTGTTTATCAGGGAACTTGTGACCTCATGCATCCTTTCCTATACCTTCACCAAAGTGTTGTTTTACAGGTGTGATAGGTGAGAGCTCATGAGGCCTCAGCAGGAATGTTTTATGTTTTGTGTTCTGAGTTACCATCCTGTCTCTTACATTGAGATAAAATGAACCTTGAGAGAGTCTCTGCTCTCCCCATGATAATGATGATCCTGACATGAATTGTTGTGACCTTGACATGACATCTGTTCTCTTCCATATGGTATAATACTGAAGTGTTTCTGTTGTTCTCTTGTGTGGCTGCCTGCAGGTGAGATGTACACAGAATCTTCTCAGATCTGTGAAGCAAGAACGACTGAGGCTCTTCAATTTGACTTGTGAATTCACCACAAGGTTTTTGATGTAAGATGATGAACCTTCTCTTGCACTGGGTGAGGAAACCGTGTCTGTGGTCAGGGCAAACTGATGGATAAAAACAGTGATCTGGCAGGTGGGTAGCTGGAGTGTCGTGCATCAAAAAGAGCTGAGGCAATAAATAGAGTGCTGTGTCTGTTATGCACAGACTTGGACGTCTACCAACCTTTTCCCATGTCAGCTGGGAAAGACACACACACTGCACATTTTATTCCACCTGTTGGACTAGAAAAACTGGCCCACATCTACTGATGACTCATTTTCAAACTGACGCGTGTGGGTGGTTTAATTACAGTCTGGCTATTCAGACATCTGGCTGCCATGCTGCAGCCTTTGAATATTCCTGTGACCTTCTCTCACTTTACTTTATATTGCACCACAACATTATCAGTCACTACTTCATGCTTTTTCTCCAATAACCTCTCAATTGATATGGATTCCACCAAGAACAGATCGTTTTCATTGCACGTCTGCTTCAAATCACAACAAGAAAATGTTTTTATCTCGGTTTGCGCCATTCAGCAGATCTCTCATCCACACAGGAAACACAAATAAAGACAGCAGACAAACAAATACAGGCGCACATGGCCAACTGCCACAACATGAATCAGCACGCAGCGAGCATCTGAGTGCACATAGACAACATGTCACATGCTCACTGACAGCAGACGGAAACAGATATCAATGTAATTGAAGCTCGTGGCAAAGTACACTCACGAGTTAAAAATATATTATTGCCCGGTAACTTTGAAGTTCGCCACAAGCAGATGACTGTTATTATTATTCTACTTCTCTGCTCCATCCAGCAGAAAAACAGTGATGCCAAGTCACTCACCATTAGACTGAAAGGATGGTAGCGACACAAGCAACAGCTCAATTTCCTGTTGACTACTTTGGTGGGGGGGGGGCATTTTGTGTAGCCAGATATGTAGCTACCAGTGTTTATTACTACCTGCCTTTAAAGTAAGATTGTTCATGTCACAAACAGCAATGATATCCTTTCATTAGATTTTCCGTTACCCCACCAATGAATAGCTCTAGGTTTTTAGAGGGAATGAGACCTGATCTGATGTTAATACAAAGCAGCATCCATCCCTATGACAGTACCTTCTGAGTTGAGCTTGGATCCAAACTGTTTGGTCACAAGAACTCGTCGCTGAGACTAACGTGGTGTCTCCCTCCAATCTGTCCACGCTACTTTGCTCTGAGTGACAGCTGCTGGGTCGGACCTATGGAGGACAACACGAGTGAACAAACACACACCACTGTAGAGATGTAATACAACCTCAGAGCATATTTGTGCACTATTTTTTATTGAATTAAAGACTTTTTTAAAACCTTTTTTTATACTACAAAGAACACATTTAAAATGTATTACTTGTATGACTATATTGACATCTAAACCGCTTTTTATGTATATATTATTAATTCCTAGTAACTGTAAAATATTCAATCAATTTACAAAACCTGGAAGCAGAAAAGTGGAAGGCAGTGGATTAACTAATTAAAAAATAATCTTATTCAGTTCATTTTTCTAAAAACGGACACTTATCTATTACAATTTGATGAGCTCTTTAGCAACTACAGGTCTGATGCCACTCAAATCATAGCAAAAAAAAGAATTTAACAGCCTGCAGCATCAATCCCACCTTTACTTTAAAGGTTTCAAAATCTTACTGCATATGGACAGCAAGAAAATGTATTCAAAACCTTTGTAAATGTTATTCAGGATTTTTTTCCTAAAGCTTTTTCCTAAAGCTAAATAATTAGTGATGGAACTGAAATACTTCATAAGTTATTGTGCTACATGTACTAAATGTGTTGAGAGACTGGAATAACCATGGCTACTATTTATCAGTAAGTGCTGAGATCACGCACTGAATAATTCATGTAATTAAAAAGTGTTAAGTTTTCGTCAGAGACAATTTAAAAAAAACTGTTCACCTCAAAGTGGGAAAGAGCCGAGAGGGTGGGAGGAGGTGGTGAGGAGGAGGCGATCGAGGGGGCCTCAGTGTTCTCGGCTGGGACTGGAAGGAGAACGTTCTGATGCTGGAGAAGATGGAGCAACAGGGCATTGCACACACTCTGCTCCTCCAGCATCCCAGGTCCTGCTGGAACACTGCATGAAGAAGATGGTGGAACAACATTGCAGTGTCACATAGTGACTGCCATGTACTGTGTTTACCTCTAAATGCTTTAACACAGATAATTGTAAAGGGTTCCATCTAGTGGCAGAACACAGCACAGACATAAGATAAACTACTCAGACTGCATATGGTGAAATAAAACAAAAAAAAGACATTCCTCTTAACAAACTAAAATAGAATTTACAGGAAAGAGAAAATTAAAGAAGAAAATGCTTCATGTCAGAAAATGTTAAAAAGGAAGATCCATGCAGGGCTCAGTTGTGAGTTGAAATAATGTATGGATGTATGGATGGATGGATGAATGATGGATGGATGAATGTATGTATGGGTGGATGGATGGATGAATGATGGATGGATGGATGGATGGATGGATGGATGGATGAATGATGGATGGATGTATGGATGAATGTATGAATGTATGGATGGATAAATGGATGGATAAATGTGTGGATGGATGAATGGATGTATGGATCGATGTTTGGATGGAAGGATGGATGATTGTATGTATGTATGGATGAATGTATGGATGGATGAATGATGGATGGATGAATGTATGAATGTATGGATGGATGAATGGATGGATAAATGTGTGGATGGATGGATGTATGGATGAATGTATGGATGAATGTATGAATGTATGGATAAATGGATGGATGGATGGAGGGATGAATGTATGGATGAATTTATGGATGTATGAATGTATGGATAAATGGATGGATAAATGGATGGATGGATGAATGTATGGATGGATGAATGTATGAAGGGATGAATGGATGGATGGATAGATGAATGTATGGATAGATGGATGGGTGAAGGGGTGTAGGTCGGGTGTTGGGGAGAGGGGAGGGCCAGCCCAGCCACCGCTGCTGCGACGTCACCGCTGAGTGAGTGAGTGAGTGAGTGACTGGGCTCCGGGCTCCAGGCTCAATCTGCAGCCAGCAGCAGCAGCAGCAGAGGTGGTGTCGAGGAGGAGAGCAGCTCGTTTCATCCACTCCTTCAGTTCCTCCTGCGGGCTTCTTCCTCACCGGGGGCCGGGAGACACAAAAGACGGGGCAACTGCATGAGCAGAGGCGGGTCAGCTCTCCGTCTTCATCTCGACTGCGAGCCGGGCTAGCTTGATGCTCACTTCAGCCCGCTAGCCTTTGTGTGTCTGGGTGACAGGGCTGTCAATGCATCCAGGGAGACCCTAACAAGCACCGCGGGGCTCGGGGAGAAGAAGCCCCTTTTTTTTTTTTAACTTGACAGTCTGCAGAAATCACCCTCCGAGTGCGGGCACACAGCGGCAGCCGCGTTGCGCACGCAGAGAGCGGATCCCCAGTGAGGAGCATCACCGCCCGGGCACGGTTTTCCACGTCGTCGCCTGTCTGCAACCTCCAGCCTGACAGCACCAAGAGGCGATTGATGACTAATTTTCTTTCAGGATAAGATTCAGCGTTGCGCACCACGGCCAACATGCTGGCAGCGGGATTGCTCTTCCTGGGATTGTTGCACACTTTGGAAGTAATCACTCCAGCGGGGGCTATTGATGGTAAGCAGAGGAAAACCCGAGTGTTTGCGTAAAAACGCGTAGAAGCACCACACGAGTGTGTCTGTGCAGATGATCGCAGCAGGGTTTCATTGTGTTTGTGTGGTTGCGTTGCACGGTGAGAAGAAGGTAAGCTCCCTGAAGGAATGAGCGGAGCAACGTGGAGGTGATTACACCGAGACAATTAAAGCGCTCTTTTGTTTCTGTCTCCCATGTGCCACATGTGAAAATTTGCAATGTCACAGCAGTGATCGCACATTTCCTCCTCTAGATACACACTCTTACACATTTACACCGACATGCAGCGATTTAAAGGCAGCACAGGCCTCAGTGCCCTCCTCAAACCACTTGTTTCCAGGTCGATACGCTGGTTTAAATCTAGAGGCAGCACTCACACAATAGTTTTTAATTTCTTCAGTGACAGAGGAGGGAAAATGTCTGATGTGCAGCTGTGATATAACTGTTGATCGCGGTTCAACAGTTTTTTTACAGTGTGATAAACAACACTCATATTTTTACCACTCCAATGAGTTTGTTCTGGTGTTGTTATGTCATTTTGGAAAGATTTTTCAGTGCTGCAGTTTTGATTTACTGTGGGTAATCCATGAACCCATCACAGTTCCTCATCTCTGAGCTCAGATGTTTAGTGTTGCAATCAACACGGCCATTTATTGTAGTAGTGTGTGTTTGCTTTAAATCAGTGCAGTGCCTGTTCTAAACTTGGCTGTTTGCTTGGCCTCTTTTAATGCTCTCATTTACTGTCACTTTTGTATTTGTTTGCCTGCTGGACGTGCTTTGCAGAGGTCTTTATGAACTGAAGTTAGAAAACGTTCATCCTACCTGGTTTATATGCAGTGAAGATTTTAGAATCAGTGTTTTTCATAAAAGGAAATTGAATTTGCTTTCTTACTGTTCACATGTGTGGTTTTTATANGTTTCATTTCTACATGTGAAACTTCTACATTTCAGATATATGTGAAGATTCTGACCACAACATTGACAAGACGTGGATGTATTGTTGGTATGTGTAAGTATATTCAGCTGTTGTTGACATCATCCATTCTGGGCTTTATTTAGGTTGTATCGCATGTACACATAGTAAGTATTGGTTGCCATAGCGAACACCCAGGGGAAGAGAATGTGAAAAATCTGGGTAATAATAGATATCGGTTTGATGTGAGAACAGAAGCAGTCACGTGGATTTCATAACAAGCACATTCAGGAAGTCACAGGGAGATAGAAAGTAGCATGGACATATATGCAGGAGTTATTTGGGGGGTACATTGTCAAAGAACATGTCACACATGTGGCATGTGACGCACTTGTGCTACAGGGTTTCCCAAATACAGGCTGTGCTCAATTGAGGTAAATCTGTTGCGTGCAGTAACCAATTATATGCCCTTCAGCCTAGCAAGTATTTACTTTCTACAGACTATGGTGTCTACTGATATCCTCCATATCAGGCCTTAATGTTTTCACTGTCTCTATTTATATAGCACTATTTTATTCTTGATAACCTCTCAAAGTGCTTTACAGTACATTTATACATTTATACATATATACGGTGCATCTATGCATCTATGCGCTGCCCTTTCCCTTTTATACATCACTCACACAATGTCATTTGAGATTCCGTATCTTGCCTAAGGACAGGGGAGGTAGGGAATGAGGGAGACTGAGGTCGAACTACCAAACTTAAGAGTTAGTGGATGACTTGGGTTACTCTATCCCCATCTAAACTGCCAGAGTCCCTGCATTGACCTCTCACCCACGACCACACCAAAAATCAACCTGCGGGATACTCTGTGCTGCAATTTCTGTCAGTCATTGAAACTTAAACTTTTTGAAATATTTTTCAAATCTCTCAAGAACAAAAATAGAGCCAATATGTTCCTAAACATACAGTCGCTATTGTTTGGGACCAAACTTTTTTTCAGCCGGATATTTTGGGATATATTTATCTCTTATTCACTCTTCATTCAATACAATTATACCATCCCTTTCCTACCCTGTTTGTTGTTCTGATTCCTGTGGAACCAAACACAGAAAGCACATGACGTTCTCTGACCATCTACACTGGGTTTGGGTTGCTGTAGCTGTAGATTCTACAGCTACAGCAACCCAAACCCACCCACCCTCAACTTTTTCCAAGCCTTTGACACCAACTCAACAGCCCACAACCAGCTCTTCTTCCTCCGGCTATAATCGTCTGACAACTTCCCAAGATATGCAGAACTTCAGAGTGTGACTAATTCCACTGACATGCCTTTATCTTTCACAGGAAAACAAGTCTATGGACGTATTGTAAATGAGACTCTTGGGAGACTGAAAGCCTGCTGTATATATCGCCTTTATTTTGTAATGTCTTGATCTACACTATAATGAATGTTGTGATCCTGCCATATAAATAAAATTGAATTATATTGAATAAATATAATGAGTCTTTTCTTCAGTGGCAGAGTCTAATAAGTATGTCTTTCCCCCGGAAAGATTTGATTTGTTTACAGTGACGTCAACGTTCTATAAACAAGAGAAGAGAAACGGCCGACAAAATCCTGACGGCCTCTGTGATATCTCTCTGTCTTTCTGAGTTTCATGCTCTCCGTTATCAACCAAAAATCCACAACCATTTCCGTGAAGGGACGAACATGACTCCACCCCAACTTAGTGGAAAATGGAGCAGACATACGAGCACAGAGGCTGATGAACTGTGCCCGACATTTAGAATGCTGCTCTCGTGACAACCAGACAAAGCATCATTTTGTACATGTGGAACTGACAAGCTAGGAGAGAGAACATAACCATTTGCATGATAATTCGTTGAACTCTGAAATGCTGTTGATCATACTAGGAATCTCTAGGCACTCGCCATGGCAAAACTGGTGTGAAAGTCATCATTAAAAAATGTATACACAGGGGTGAAAACACAGTGACAAGTTACTAATCTGTTTTTAGGTCAGAATGTTTCCTGAATATACTGATTTGATGAGATGAACCTTGTGTCCTAACAGTGGTTTGAATAGGATTTGAATCAGACACGAAAAAAGCAACTTACTGAAATATACAAGGCCCAAAGATGGTTGCCAGGTTTTCCACAGGCATGTGATTTGATTGACTGTGAGCAGCCACTCTAGACAGAAAGTGGATGAGGTAAGACAAAATAATGAGGCTGTCGGCAGGGAGGTGGTGAAGTTTCTCTCTCAGAGACAGGTTCAATTCTGCCTTATCTGCATATGCTGAAAATAAGCAAAAACATCAAAACGGTATCAGTGGATATAAAGCATGTAACCAAATTTATATTGCATTCGTTGGCATAAATTACTTCCCTGTGTTTAATGCCTGGTTCCTTATTTGAGGCTATATGTCCAATGAGATTTGCAATTTTGCACATATTTTGCACATGTGAGAAAAACTAAAAAAATCTGTTGCTGAAGGACCTTGAATTAGTCTAGTTTATTATTTTCTTATTGAACATACAGGCAGGTGAACCCAGGTTACATTAGTGTAAGAGACATGGCATATTTTGGCACAAACATGAAACATGAAATTTGATCCTAACAACGTCTGCATGATTTCCTCATACCTGAAAGGCTTAGAATGAGCTGTTTGCGCTGGGGTTCAGGCACCACGGGGGTGGGCAGCTCCCGGAGGAAGAGTTTGAGTAGCGAGGCCACAGTGGAGACATCAGCCTCTTCCTCCAGGCCCACTCTCTCTCCATGGTCCCACAGCTGCCTCAGCTGCCTGGTCCGCGCCACGGAGCTACACAGACGAAACAATCCTCTGTGATGCATTCCTGTGATGAGAAAACACATATACTCAATCAGTGCTCAAGCATGTGACGTTGGGGTATTTGTTTTAGGGATGCATAGGGTAAGATGAAGGATGTGCCTCTAGTACCATTCATCTCCAGAAACTCCACCATGTCTCTTAACACCAGAGGTACTCCACGGACCATCTGCCCTTCCTCCCTCAGTGTTTCCAAGGCAACACCAAACACACGGCTGGCAGCCACTTCAGGCTCTGACTCCAGGCTGGGAGCTGTGAGCGCTGGGCTGACCTTAGCGCTGGGCCTCAGGATCCTCACTGAAGACGGGTCGTTCTGAAAGGAAACAGGACAAGCACACAGGAGTTAACTCAAATTGAGAAATTAAATTAGTTTATCTTGTTTAGTTAATTGGTTGGATGGTTATTAAATTAGTTCATCCTGGATGTTGGTGTTGACACGGTCCCCAATGACCCACTTTATGATGCTTTAAAAAACAGTCAGGACACAATGAATTGAACATTTTTGGTTGAAATGACGTAAAAGTCAATGTAAATTTAGCTTTTACACTTAGTAGAATAACATTAAGTAAGTTTTAGCGTCATGTTTCACACTTTTCTTTATAAACGTGGAACTACTTGCTAATAAAACTGTGACATTAGCGGCTGAACACACACAAGAGTAACGAGACAACAACAGACAAACTTACACACAGCGACACCGACGCCCTCGCTCCCATTGTTCAGCTCAGCGGACAGTGACATCTCTCCATGTTCTCCCTGGCAGACGTGTTCTTGCCCTCCTCCACTCCACGAGCCCGCCTCTGAAACTATCCCGGAGTCCCGCACCAGAGGAGCAATGGCCGCCTCGGTCCAAACACCCCGGCTCCCGCCTCCCGGTTCGTCAGAATCCCGTTAATCCCGATAATGAAACGGAGCGGCGCTAGCAAGAAGCTCCGCGGCGTTAGCTCCCCGACAGTTGTTTACGTTGCTAGTCACGTGACAGGTGTGTAACCATGGCGACCGGAGGCGGGGTTGCCAGGGGGAAGTGAAAGCAGGGAGATGCTAAAACTGAAGGTTAGCTTAGCTCCTCTGAGTTTAAAATGTGTTTGAGTACTTCAAAAATTTCACCACGAATACACTTCAAGGTACGTTTGAAATCAATGGCCCTTATTTGATTGTTCATTTTTTGCTTCTGCTTATGTTTCTTCTCTTATTTTCGTTTGCCATTACTTTTAAATGATGTTGTGATATTTTAATCTGGTGTTCTTGATTTTACATTTTATCTTTGATTCAAAGGACATTGTATTTTTTTGCTTCTTGTCTTTGATTTTCTTTTCATGTTTTTTTTGTTTTTATGTTGTCCTCCATGTGAAGCAACAGCTGTTTAGAAAGGTGCTACATACATTAAGTTATAACAACAACAATAATAACAAGTATTCTTATTTTTATTATTATCAATCAATCAAATATTATTTGTATATCCCATATTCACAAGTCACACTGTCTCAGAGGGCTTAATATGGTGAAACATCCTGTCCTTTAACCCTCGACAAGACCTGTTTTGGAGATGTATGTTTTAATTTGATTTATGATATATGACAAAAAAATATATATTTGATATTTATCAACAAGCTATCATTTACTCCATCATAAATATACTATCATCTCAACATCTTTAATCCAAATATATTTTATTGGCACTTTATAAACGAAATAATAAATCAAAAATACATACATAAATATTGTAATACTGGCATAAAAAAAAGAGTAGCTAAAAGGTGACAACAAACCATACTGTCACTTTTAGATCAGCACAAATATCCTCTACAAACACAAAGAAAACAGTCTGGAGCTATCAAAACGACATTTGCAGTGGTGTATTTAACAGCATTTAAGTGATTCTCAAAGTGTGTAGCAAGATATTCATTACAACTGCCACACTAATCCTCTTCCAACTTTAAAATAAAAAAACTTTACAGCTCTATGGCCAGTTTTGTGCATACAAAAGTCACTAGCACGTTGGACTTTACAAATTAGTGCTAGTACAAAAGTTTATCAAACAATGCACCCTCACGCCTGTGCATGTAGGAGAGTGTGCATGTGCAGACACGTACATACACAACGCACATGTTAACATATACATATATACGTATACACGTACACAACATGATGAAAAGGACCAGCCAGGTCAAAACGAATGCCAGCAGAGATCATGATAAACATGCCACAGAGAATCAACATGCTCATGACTACAGTATGACTGAGTTTTTACATGTTTTGAATCAGCATCTTAAAAAGTCTCTATGATCCAAAAACACGAAGTATGTGAAACTCAAACAATTTAAAAAGATAAAAATAGAGTCAATGCACTTGAAAACAAAAATTATATTTAAAGCAAGGCTTTTGTATTGTTCTAACAGGCATTAGGTGTTGACAGGCATTGACTATAATTGATGCTTTGGTAAGATACATAGTGGTGTAATTAAGATATATTTATATATATTAAACCAAAATACAAAACAAAAAGTACTGTTGCTATAATTACGATTATCATAAAAAGACTCCCTCCTTCATTCCAATCCCTGTATAGTCTGTTCAAGTCAGATTCCTGGGAGATTTTTGTGCATTTGCAGAGTGATTCTTACCGTGAAAGATTAACTGCCGCGTTAACCACTGATTTTACAGATGTCTTTCTTCCCAGCTTCCCATGAACATCAACATGTCTTTTAATAGCTCTGCAGTTAAGTGACAACCATTGTTTGTATAAACAGTGTAGATTTTGGGAGTTGAACAATAGTGTTCTGGTTGCCTCGTAAAATGAGGCAACAATAAAAAAAGAGATTATCAACACAGGCACCAGAGTCAAACCGTTAAAACTACACACCATCCTGCAATGGGATCTCACCATTTCCAACCCATGAATGCTCAGTAGTTATTATTATTACATGATTACTTCTCAGTACTCATGGGCCAGACCCATACACTGTATATAAGGATGGACAACATGACAGAGCCTCAAAGGGGAAGCCAAATTGTCCTGATCATCCCCTGGTGGCTGGCTGAAGTACAGGTCATAAACACCAGCTCCTCCGTGTTAGTAGATGGGACATGCACCAAACATGTAAGTCAAAGTACATGTTAAATACCAATGGTTTCTGTCATAATTTTGATACACACAAGTAGATCTTTGTGTCTGTATCTTGCAGTTGCCAAAGTTTGACATCTTCTGTGGTAGTTCCCAGTACATTGGGTGCAGTACTCCACCACATTTTGCCACAATGTCAAACATAAAGACTCACAGGGTGAAATTAAAACTAGCCCTGTTGTTGTGGTTGGTAAAGATCTCCAATATATTGATTGAACCTGAGAAATGCAGGCAAAGTGCAGAAGAAAGGCCTGAATTTCAAAACCTCTGTAAATGAGTTTACTCAAAGAATAATTCTGCTACAGGTGGTTTAGGTACAGTGGGCATTGTTTGGCAGTGGGGGTAAGATGTGAGTCCTTATGAGAGGTTGTATTCAGGCTACCGAGGCAACTTTGTCACAGTTGCTGGTGTAATGGACGTCAGGTCTGTCGTTCTCAGTGCGCTTCCTGTTCCAGCAGGGAAGGGTGAGTAGAGTGAGAATGAATCCTCCCAGCACCACACAGCTCCCACTAAAGTAGAACGCCAAATCGTATGACTGTGTCCAGTCAAAGAACCACCCTGGGAAGAGATGAGAAAAACAGACATGAGCTTGGTCAGCAGGGATTCCTGGCAGATGCAGCACCAGCTAAATGACAAACCACCTCAAAATTAAGGTTGGCCTGACCTTTGTCGTGCTCTGCCTGCCTTTCTGATTTTTGACAAATCTCTGAAAACGTGACCTTACAACAATGTTTATCTCTGCACAAGTAAAACAAAAATATTGGTACCTAGAATTACTAGTTTATAAGTATTTAGAAATTTGAATAAAGACAAGATCTATTACCTACAACCGGGGGTCCAAGCATGATCCCAAGTCCCCCGAAGAACATGAGGATGCCGTGTGCTTGGGTTAGTCTGTCCAAGCCTACAATCTGTGTGGTGATGTAGGAGGTGAGAGACCAGTTTCCAGAGAAGAAACCCAACAGAGCTGACAGGATCTGCAGTCCCATGTAAGTCTTAGTGATAGGTAGAAGGAGTAGCGTCACACCGCCTGCGAACATGGTGAAGGCGTAAAGATAAATGCTGTTGATCCACCGGATGTCCACCAGCACACCGAGCACTAGTTTACCCACACACGTGGCGATGGCCCCTATTGATACCAGAGGAATGATGCTAACTTCTTCAACGAGTCCCTGACTCTGCGCCACATCCTCTATAAAGAGCACAGGAGGGAACGCCCCCAGGCTGAACAAGAACACAGCGAAACAGAATGCCACCATGGCTTGGTCCTGCAGGATCTCATACATGGACTGCATGTACCTGGAGTACGCCTGCTGCTTCTTCTTGATGACTTTCATGATGGCAAACCCAGCCAGGAGGCTGCCTTTCTTCTCCGTCTGGATGCCCACATCCTTGCCATCGATGGTGATGAGCATCTCCTTCACTGTCAGAGTTTTCTCTGGACTGGTGACAGTGGAGCCTGCTGTGATCTGTAGGTCATTCACCTGGGGCTTATCGAAGAGCTGCTCTTCCGTGTTGCGCTCCAGGGCGGCTTTCCGTTTGAGGTAGTACCCCGGCATATAAAGAGGCCTCATGAAGCCGGCGCACGCCATGAGGTTGAGTGCTAATGCACCGATGATGAGCAGGCAGCCGTCCAGGCCGTACATTGCAATCAGCTCATTCTGAGCGGTGGCATAGATGAACGCTCCAACACTTGTGCCTGGGTGAGGCAGGGGAAGACAGAAATGTTGTGTTTGTGCAAGAAAGTCAAAGATGAATCAATCCTAATCAATTATGTGTAAATTTTTAAATGACTGCATCACTTCTTAAATTATTCTCATGCCATGAAAAAATAATACAATCCTGGAAAACTTTTTAAGTCACTGCAGCAAAGCAATTAGTTAAAGCACTGGAGGTCAGCAAGAAAAAAGAGATTTAATGGGAAGTTAAATTATACTTTAATTTTGTGACAAAGCTAAATAGTTCAGCATTTACAATGGACTGAATAACCTTTAGAAATAAACTTTTGGTGCGACTAATAACCTCCTCCTATTAAGGCAATTATAGAATGTAAAGTCAAATTTTATAAATTATAACTATACAAGTTTTGATTCACAGCTGAAGTACTGGTGTGCACACAGATAGGAGGCAGCAGTACCTGTGGTGACGATCCCAAGGGCAAGGCCGCGTCTTTTGTCAAAATACTGACAGGTGATTGTCAATGTGGCTGCGTAGACCAGACCACAACCCAGGCCTGTGGCAGGAGAGAGGACAAGGACAGACAGAAGGAGAATTTTCTTTAGCCTGGATGAAAGGGCAAAAGACTCCTGCTTGAATACACAATGTGTGTGTTATGAGAAGGTCACATATATCTCTTCCTGTCACATCACAGCAAGGAGGTTCTGAGTTTGAACCTGAACCTGAACCTAAATGTTCTTTCCAAGAACTCTGGTTTACTCCCTATAAGTACAAAGACAGGTCAGCTTAAATGGGCGACTCTGGTGACCTTTTCAGGGTGCACCCTCAGCTCAGAATGACTCAAGTCCCTTGTGCGACCTTCAAATGATAAGCAGTAAAACTAGTAGGTACGTAGGTTTAAGCAAAACAAGACTGTGCTCGATGTTGTCTGACGTATGAAGTCAAGGAATCATTACAACCATGAATGTACAATGAGTGTGAATGTCTAAGTTCAGAGGGCGGTGCGCTCAAGGTGTCAACAAGCTGCACGTGAATGCACGGCCACAGCCGTTTTTTTAGCCATCTAAAAATAAATGTGTATCTTCAAATATGCATGGCCTCCCCTCTCTCTCCAGTGCTGCATCTGCCAAAGACTGTGCTGACTGTGAAGGGGTTCAGCAGGATTAAACATGACTGAACTTTGGTGTCACTTAACGCACAAGAACAGGTGGTGCTGGGCCCACGCAGAAACACCGGTGTGGGTGAAAAGGTAATACAGGGTCACATTGGGATAGACTAATCTACAACAGGATTTTTCTGTCAACATCCCCAAAAATATTTATGTCAAAAAATGGCGCAAACCTAAAATAATATTCTTGTCTCTGCATCACATGTGACACCATGAAACTTGGTAGAAGGGTGCAGTGTGAGTCAGGAAAGCAAGATCCTGATCCAGACCAGAGGGCAGATCCAGGAATGTTTCTTTAAACTTTTCTGAATTTCTCAAGTGATAAAGCAAAGATCTTTATGTTTAGAGTGTTAATATCTATGAACATATATCATATGGTCTGGATCTGGATAATGATTTTTGGAGCAGATCCATATAAATAGGTGGATACAGGATTTCCTTAAGGGTGTAGAGTTCAACATACTTTTTGTCAATACTGATATTCATGAACAGGAAAGGATATAATCGCTCTTTGTAGTTACATAATAGTTGGACTTGGCATGTGCCCGAGCTTAATGTTCATGATTATACAATGTGTTATGAGGTTTTCATATGTTCAAGAGATAAGAGGCTTAGTTAACGGCCATAACCAAAGCAACATAGAAGACTTTTTTTTCTCTGACTAACCAATACAAGACGAGACCTACTGTCTGTCTGAATCAGGCTTTTTGCTTCGTTAACTTTTGCAGTTCATTTACAGTACTATATAGTATAAAAACACACAGGAATCGAATGGTTCTTACCAACAACAATCCCATAGGAGAAGATGAGGAACTGCACGTTGGGAGCAAAGGCACTGAGCATCAGGCCACCTGCCACCATTACGCCACTAAAGATGGTCACTGGACGAGCCCCGAAGTTGTCCACACATGCACTGCATATCGGACCTGAGTAGGAAAGACAGGAGCAGAGAGAATTAAACAGAGGGTCAGACAATAGAGGAGATAGAAGGAAAATGAGAGAGACAGAGGAGCAATAAATACTCAGAGAGGACATGCTGATATTTTTTGTCTGGAAAACAGAGTTTCTGAGGAAATCAAACCCCCGTCTCACAAAGCAGTGCTGAGTCTGACCATGACACTGTCTCACCACCTTAGCTTCAAAGTGGCAGCTTGACAGAGGTGTTGCAGCATCACTGAAGAGGATGAGAGGACCGGTGTTCATGTTTTACTAAAGCATCCGTGAAACTCCTCAAGTCTTTGTTTACCCGTTGGTTTCCCCTTTAACTCACTCTCAGTTTGGTAAAACAGCAACTTAATCCTTCCTGCCTGTTGGCATCACATGTCTATTTATCTAATTGTTCCAGCTTTTCATCAGAGCAACATGATGTATACACGGAGTGCAGCATTGAAACCTAAGGGCAGTGTTTCCTCTGTGCTTAGTGAACACTCCAGTACCCTGAGGTTGTTGGACTCATATATCACGTGATGCATCATTTACTGTTTCCTTCCCTCCTGTAACCGGGGGGAAGCCCCTGCTGTTGTCGCATATGGCAGCTGTCTGACAGCAGAGTCCAGGACTTAGCCAGGTCCGAAGCTAAATCTGTCCAGTCATCAGAGACTGGTTGAAGAATCACATGTTCCTTTTTATTTCCACAGTCCAGCTTTAATTATGCTGTCAAACTTTTAGTCTCTTAGATCAGGTTCAAGTATGATCATGCACACTGCCTTACAATCCGTCTTCCATTTCCTCCCTCTGGGGTTAGATTCGGGGCTAAGTGATCCTCCTACATTCATAGCGTGGATGACTTGCATTTGCATCGCTCTGTTAGAAAATCAATAACAGCAGCGCAGCTCAGGGAGCAACTAAGTGCCCATCTTTATGATGGCAGTGGCAGTTTTTCTCCTCCATCCTGTTGAAACGTTAAAGTAAAAAGGACTAACACCTGTAGCTATAGTAAACATATCCCATGATGATAGCTTGATTGCAGTCATAGCTTTGACTTCGCACATTTATTGGATCTGTTTTGTTATTAGTGGCATCATGTGGCAGGATTATTGCGAAGGAAATAGTAGGAGGAGAGGTGTAAAGGTGAGTGTTTATTGCTTTGTTCTTTTAGCTCTATAAACAGATACAGTATCTCTTCCTCAGTCCTTCATGTCAGCAGATATATTCCCAATAATGATGCATGAGGCCAAAATGTCTGTACGGATGCTATGACTCGCAATCTGAAAGAAGAAAAGTGCTGATCCATTATTACAGTGTATGATACTCACTGGCTATTAGTCCCACTCCACCCACGAGGGAGCCCACCCAGGCCGTCATGCCCTTGCCCTCCTGGTAGGCATTCAGCCACTCGGGGTAGAGAACGCCCACTGACTGGGGCGATCCATAGGCCAGGAGCTGGGCCATGAAAGAGGCCACAACGATGGCCCATCCCCAGCCTCCGTCCAGCACTTTAGAGGATGGAGCCATGGTCCTGATTTCACTGCTGCCGTCTGGGATCTGCTGCAGCTCGGACAGAGCAGGGGTTCCTGGGAATGGCAACAAAAAAAAATCACAGAAATAAGGGTCAGAGCAAGATAATCGAAAAGATGACGAAACAGTCATTTCCAACACACAGCACTTACACAGAGATGTCATGTGGTGAAGGCTGCTGCAAAGCATGGCCCGGCCAAACTGGCAAGTCACCTGTATGAGGTCCTGAGCACAAGAGTGACTGCAACTAAGATACAGCCGGCTGCCGCTTTTTGTTTCTTTCTCTGGAACCACACCTTGGAGGAGGAGAAACTAAAGAACCTGCACCGCTTGGCGTCACCCCTCCCGCACCATGCACCCTGAACACACATGGGAGAGGCCTGTCTCCTGTGCTGACCCAAGTTTTTCAGACCTCTTTCATGAATAATTTGTTGACCAGAGCAACTTCGTACATCACTGCAGCAGCATTTCTGTCTTCATGATGAGGCATCAGAGTGTGAGAAAAAAGTTGGTGCAAAGCTCTGCACATTTCAAATGTTTGCTTGTAAATCAGATTTACTTCAAGGTGCCAGTGCATTAAAATCCAACGATAACAGCTGCAGAAAGACATGGAATGCCCACGGATGGAAAATAATGTCATCTCTATGTTCACCAACAACAATAACCCTGTTATCATCATAACACCGCGTTACTGTCAAACAAACACAAGCATATTATGCTCCTTCTGTTAATAACGCATGCAGCACTCACCTCAGCATCTACACAAACAGCAGCAGCAGCAGGCGCCTGCAGAGCTGCGCGCTCCACAGGAACTTTCCATGCAGGAGCGTTTCCCTGATAAAACCCCCCGTTACAGGATCTCCGCTAATCGCGCTAACGAGAAGGCATCTTTCGTGGATGCTGCTCCACCTGAGCCGGAGTCTGAACCGCCGTGCGTGTGCGTGGAAAGGACTCAATAGCAACAATGCGCATTGTGCATCAATCCGCTTTTTGTAGCCGGCGCGAAACCGGTTCAAAGCTGTTCTTGCTGGTCCAGCAGCAGCAGACGAGAGGAAGAGCGTCGCTTCCTCATGCGCGCTCTGAGCGCACAGCTGACTGAAGAGCAACACGGAGCGGCTGCGCTCAGAGATGCGGCTGCGCAGCTTTCTGGGTCAAACCGTGCAAGGATGTGCGTCTAATAATGTTAAGGTATTAGAAAACTTAACGAGGAGCGTGCACACACACACACACTCACTCACATGCACAAACCCAAATCTGTTTACCTGATAGGTGTCCAAATCAGGCTCTGGTTTAAAAACCCCTCACAAAGCAGAAAAAAGCTGAAATATACATGAGAAATTATATCAACTTTTAACTAAAATATCTGCTGAAAGTTGTGGGTCCATGTGCTGAGGCTTTGTGTGTGGGGCCACCTCTCTCCAGGAACTGTTAATATTACCATCAGTCCAGTCTGAACCGGTTGATGGATGGTAATAACAACACCACCGTGCACCAGCAGGGCGCAGCTGCCTGGGCTCCTCTCCCTCATGATTAAAGACGTACATGCACAAAACTCCAGCGACCAAATCCTCCTCAGCCCTCCCGTGACTCAGCCACATCAATGTTGATAAAAACTGGAGGAAGTTCAGAGCCAAAGAGGAACTGGCAGCAAGGTTTAGAAGGAGCCACACAGACACAATGAGTTAAAAATAAAACCAGGGAATCCTGCAGAGATTAGAGGCAGATACAGACACTTCATGTGAGAGTGTTACAGAAACAATTAGAAATACAGGTGAAATGTGTGAGCCTGTAAAGAGTAGGGTTATATCAGTGGGGGAATAAAATGGTTGTAACCAAGGAAACAGAGGTGACTTGTAGACCTATAACTTATCATTTATTACAGCCATTTATCCACTTTCTAATTTTCTAAAGGTCTAAATAACTTAGTGGCGTTTTATTGGCTCCAACTTCACATGTTTCTAAATCAAGAAACACAGGAACAGACACATTTTATTTAAAGTGTAACGTGTTCTTTACATTTCTAAACAGTTGGTTGTCGCATAGAGCCCTACTTGTTCTAAATCCCACTGCAGCAGTAGCATCATAAAAATGACATCCCCATGTTACATTGCAGCCTTTCTCGTGACCTGCAGAGGTCAGACACAATGTGGAGCAGAGTGAATGGAAAGAAGAACCCAAAAGAAAGGTGGAAACAAAAGATGAAAGCACAGGGAGCAGAGCAAGAGAGCGGGGGAGGGATGAAGAGAGCAGGACCACATGTCAACCTGGTTTTCACACTGAATGAAAAAAAACTCTTCAGGAACTTTGATGCTTTTTCCCATAGCTGAGGTCTGCAGCCAGGAAGGGTCTTACAGAAAAGATTTAGGCTCCTTAATCCCCCCTGCCGGAAAAATGAGGTGAAAAAAGAACAAATGAGGCCCAGTTAATTGTACTCTACACTGGCATTACATTGACATGTTGTCCAAGACCAGTTTGAACCAGAAACAGTGCATAGAGGGGACAGAGTGTGAGTGTGAGTGTGTGTGTGTGTGTGTGTGTGTGTGAGAGTGTGTGTGAGAGTGTGTGTGAGAGTGTGTGTATCTGCGGGGTGGGGGGTGGATTACACACAAGCTATGATTCACTTCTAACACTATTGAGAAATGCAAGAATCAATGTTGGTGCTGAATCTCACATGCTTACATAAGTTATTCAAAACTTGAATTGATACATTTCCAGTGTCTTTATAAGAATCAATTGTTCTACTGGGTTAGATGAGTAGTCGTGATCGTAGTGATCTGGATGAGGAAAACTTCATTTGATTTTCTATATCCTGGCTTTGATGCCGGGAGAATCTGGGATTTCCTGTAATCTCAACATTGCAGTCACACTATCATTAACAGAGGCAGTTTACCTGCAGCTCTAAAACGCCCAATCTGATAACAAATGAGTCAACATCTTAGCACAGGGCACATGAGGGCAAATGAAGTCGACTGGGGTGTTTTCTAATTGAAGCCTAAAGCATTTACTTAAGAAAAACTGCAACTGCTGTTGTGGGTGACGTTGATGATCTCATAAATAAATTGTATATAATCAATAATATTGGTTTGTTTGATTGAAAATGACATAGGTTTGCACTCTTGATGGTGTCCCACAAGGCTGGAGCTGTGGAGTTTACATTACTGATTCACAGATCATCAGTAAACACATCGGTGTGACTTAAGATAACATTCTATTGATGTACATTAACTTTTAGACTTGCTCTAACCTTAAGCATGTATTATAATGTATTATCTAACTTATTTATATGTTTCTTCACCTTAAAATGCAATGACTGATGTTATGGGGACTTGCAGTTTGTACCTTTAATGTGCCGGTAATTAAGTCCCAACAACATGATAATATACCTGGGAAACACACTTCCCAGCAGATTTACATAAGATGAACTCATATTTCTTAAGTATATTTTCTTTTCTATCTCACTTTTTGTGATACCTGAGATCCAGCACCCTGCTGCCATTTTACGCAACAGGCTTGGCAGTTGTAAAAACACAGAGCCACCCTGCCGTCTGGATAAATCGTTCTGGGTTCAGGCCACCTAGATCCGTAAAGCTGCAGAGGTGAAAGACCAACTTCAATACCCAGCGTGGCGAACCCGAGCCTCCAGTCCAGATTCCTGCTTGGATTAGTTCAGGTTGCCGGCTTCGGCGGCAAGAGAGAGAACTGGAACATATTAGAAAAACAAAGAAATTCACTTCAGTTGTACCCGGACTCAGCAAGTGGATGGACAAAAATATATTGATGTCAATCTTATGGTGGTGTGTAGCCCTATATTTTCATCCTGGGGAGTTTGAACTCATTGTGTCTGTGAACAAGCTACAGTTACCTGGGGAGTCTGTCGTCACAGCCATGCTCTCCTTCAACAGCACACACATTATAAAGGTTAACAAATCTTAAATGATCCTGGAGGGATTCATTTATGAACAACACTCCTCAAGTCTTCAGCCAGTTGGAACTGGTTGAGACCATGTGGTGTTGGATACAGGCACAAAATCACTCCTAAGAGGCTTATCACCAGATGTAGATGTGTCACAATAAATTAATGTCGGAGCAGAACTGATTCCATATTTCATTTTTTAGTCATGCTACATGCATGGCTTTAAATATGCAAAGGCCTGTCTGTTGGTTGGTCGGTCCAGCTCTTATGTCTTGATTTGAACATATAGCTTTATGAAACTCTAAAGGTCTCATAACATAATCATGGGTCAAATGCTGAGGATGCTAGAAATGCATCTCACAGGGTAATAGAGTTATGAGAAGGGTGGACATTCTGTTAAAAACTTGTCTGAATCAATAAAAGATGTGACGAATGAGAGCAGGTATGGTTATGATGATCATCAATTTTCTTTAATAAAATTTAGCATGCTATTAATTGCATATGAGTAGTTAACAAAAACAAATCAGCTGTTAGCTTGAAGATGGTGCTATAGATGAAATGTCAGAGGATCATTATTATGAGAAATCATTGTCTGGGGACCATGAATGTCAATGCATGAATTCATTCAGTAGTTGAGATTTTCTCAAAAGCATCAAAAGAACATTCAGGGATCAGAGCCAGTTGGTTCTGATAAACATGGGTACCAAACTTTATGGCAATCCATTAACGTTAAATTCACGGTGGTACCGATATGAAAAGTCAAAGGAATCAAAAAAAGTCATTGGATTGCTGGGAAAAGATATTTCCAGAAACTTTAACTTCTTGATGGCAAAAGATGAGAAGACACTAAAGATGTTTAAATTTATCCTCAAAGGACCTTAAGAGTCTGTTGCAAATGTTGTGGCAGTACACCCTGTAATTATTGTTTATTTCAGTAAAGATAGAAGGTCACAAAGACAAAAATGTAAAATGAAGCCTTACCAGTTTTCAAGCGTAGAGAAGCCTGAGACGTCAGTTTAACAAGTTTCTAATTAAGCTGGATGTTGAGCTCTGTGGATACCTCCATGCAACACCTCATGTAACTAAAGGGGATTGTTCTGTGAGGTCTGATGGTGAGGTTTTATTTAAGGCACAAACACTTTCCATCAACTGCTGTGGAAGTTTAGTGGGACATCGTGATTTGAACGAAACAATCCAGTGAAGCTAAACACAAAAAGTTCAACCCCAATGTGGAACCATTGCACCACTTAGGATCTGGTAAATTCAGTGTGCGCGTGAAATGGAAGTCTCCTGTCGGGAAATTATGACTGCTCCTACAAAGTCTCCAAAGCTTGCTCGTCAATGTTTAACTCTTGCAGTTCTCACAATACTATCCATAAAATTGACAATTAAAAACAGAAGTTGTCATCTCAAGAGCTTTAATCATACATAGAAATTTAGTTCAACAGTACCATTCATTTAGAATGTTTTAGCAATATGTATATTTAGTGTAAAGAGCATTATGTTTTTTTTTCCTTTTTCTGATGAGGAATATCCATAAGGATGATAGAAGC